TTGGCCATAACTTCCGTGTTTATGAAATGGTATCTTTCTAGCTTAATATCTCTACAGAAACCCTATATTCTGCTTCTAATGCCATTGGGTTGAACCTTCTAGGTCAAAAACTAAGGGTACTTTGTAGGAAGACCGACTTTGGTCGAAATTTCTACAAAACACCCTTAATGCTAACTTTCTTAATGACCGCCTGGTCGATTTGCTTCAAATTTTGGTATGTTGTTGTCCTAAACTAGGTGAACATAGTTAAATTACCGTAATGTCGAAATCGACCTGCGTGACCTTGTTTCAGAGGTCAGGGGTACTTACTGGGAGAAAAAGTCTCACATAACCCCACATATGGGGTATCGTTGGAAAGGTATTGGCGAAGGGATTCAGAATATATATACTTTGTGGCGTCTTGGACCACCCCCTGGTGGTCCAGAGGCAGAGAGGCAAGAAATCTCAATTCTCCAGATTTTAACACAGCCGTAGATTGGAGGCTAATAGGACAAATATACAGAGAAACTCAAAAATATTCTTCTGCCCCTGGACCACGAGGGGGTGATCCAAGACCCCACAAAGTATACATATTCTTAATCCTCTCATCAAGACCTTTTCAACGATACCCCATATGTGGGGTTATGTGAGACTTTTTCTCCCAGTAAGTACCACTGACCTCTGAAACAAGGTCACGCAGGTCGATTTCGACATTACGGTAATTTAACTATGTTCACCTAGTTTAGGACAAAAACATACCAAAATTTGAAGCAAATCGACCAGGCGGTCATTAAGAAAGTTAGCATTAAGGGTGTTTTGTAGAAATTTCGACCAAAGTCGGTCTTCCTACAAAGTACCCTTAGTTTTTGACCTAGAAGGTTCAACCCAATGGCATGAGAAGCAGAATATAGGGTTTCTGTAGAGATATGAAGCTAGAAAGATACCATTTCATAAACACGGAAGTTATGGCCAAAAAACGAAAAAAAAGGTCAAAATTTTCAGGTTAAGGTCATTATAAATTTTGACCTAGGTCACTAATTTTCTGCGACGCTCTAGGGAATCACAAATGAGGAATCTGTGCGCTGGTTCGGGATCATTATCGCCTTTGGGGGTGGCGATAAGTCCAAAACCGCAAATTAGGTCTAGGGGGGGCAGGGGGTGGGGCAATTTGAGAATCGAGGAAAACATATATTTTTTATTTTCCAACCTGAGTTCATTTATGATATCCATTTTCAAATTCGAGGGGGTGGGGAAAACACCATGTACAGGTAATTTTGAAGTTCGTCATTGCTCTTTCCAGGGTTATGTATACATACTTGACCTTTCGCTTTGCTAGCCCGCCTGAGCGGACAAACATATATTAATTGGAGCGAATATAACCAAATAGAGTGCAAAATTAAACAAGTACTTAATAAAGAGCTCCGTGCATAAACTTAAAATGTATAATTTCGCAAAAGGCCTTCAAGAATTACAACTAAATAAACTATATAAACATATAAAATTGTGCAACAAGTGGTATACTGAAGCACTGTCACATCTTCGAAGAAGAGTCATCGCAACTCAGCTAGGTTCTTTTGGATTGGGGTATTTTTTCGAATGGAATTACAAAAAGGACCGAGCCACACCCTTGACAACGGGAGCTCACTACCTGGTCTATCAGCTCTTGGTGGGTTGCCTCCTACTCGTAGCGGGGCCTGTGTTGTTTGGCAATGGTATCTATTTGTCTGTGACTCAGAAAAATGTTAGTCCTGAAGACGTCTGCTTCGCCTTCGTAGCAATTTTCTTAGTTGCCTGTTGTACTCCAGTCTTTTGTTTTTTCGCAAAAGCATCCGGTCCTCGCAAATTTGTGGATATATTTGACGCAATGATTAATTTGGAGAAATCCTTGCATGGTAGGTAAATCCAGGACAAAAATATTAAAGCCTGATGATTTGCAGTTACATTAAATAGTTATAAATATAGCTATACTTAACTATAATAATTGATTACTGAATGCTATTAAATTAACGACTGGTGTCGAATTATTATTATTCTGGTTTTTCGAGAATTTCTTTTGATCTGTATATAATATAAATGCAAAACTTGTTATGCAAAACAATTAGAGACGGTTGTCTTGGCAACATTCGCTAGACCTTTAGCTTCACCTAACGGTCTAGCAATTGGCGCAATTTGCAGAGACGAATCTCAAACAACCATTTACTTAAATTTATTTCCAGATATCATCCCACCAGAGTCATATTCCCTTCTTAGGAAACGCGTAAGGAAACCATATGAAGCTACCAGCTACGTCATATCCTTCTGCTACTTCATACTGGACTATGCATATCCCCCAATTTTCTTAATCGTCGGATTATCACCGTACAATCCGGTTAACACCATCGCTCAAAAGTTGTTCGCACCCAAGAAAATTTTCTTCTCTGCTCTAATCTGGATAGTCGCTGGACTTGATACTTTCATTGGTTTAATGATGACGTCGTCCGTAGTAGCGATTTGCATCCTTATAATAATTTATGGAACTGTCACGTTATACTTGTGGACCCTGTTCATAACCCCGCTAAAGGATGGAAACGGTGTAGAATTAGACTTCAAAGTTGCAATCAAGGTGCACGCAGATTGCGAATAATGACCAAAATTCAGGCCAAAATTGCACAAGATTTCGTCACCCCTTGTCTCCACCAATTCATCACAGTATTAGGCTCCTCAGTGGCAGTATACCTTCTGGTGACGCAGCTGACTCTTAAGTCCGATCAAATTTCCTTGCTCGTCGTAGGCATAGGCCTTGGAATGATTGGGGCATGCGCAGTGGGTGAATTCGCGGCGATTTCGTACATCGCTATGTCGGCGAGAGGCTCGAAAGAGTTTATTTGGAGGATGCGACGTAAACATGGGACGGATAAGTGGAGGAGGAGAGTTCTCGCGGCATTACTGCCGAACTCGATAAATTTGGAGTTTATTAATTCCCTGGACACGTTGGTGAATGGCTTAAGGATGAAGTACTTTTTGAGTTTTATAGACAGAGTGACGGATAATACGATTACTTTGTTGTTTGAAAGAGGGTAGCTTATAGTAGGATTGAAGGAGGCATGTTATATTTGCTTAGGACCTATACGTTACAAAAGAATTGTTGTTATACACTCTTAGAAGTTAGAACTGTGGTAATAAAAAAGTCGTTTATTATTGAGCAGTTGGCAAACATGATTACTCGCAGCAGTAATAAAATTGTTTACCAAAATTCATTATAATCCAAAAGCTTTAATTATTACTTTTTGTTATTATCCGTAAAAGCAGAGCGGTATTAATAAATTACAAAGGTATGTTAAGTTAGTACTGCAGCGGGAGATAATTATTAAAACTGCCCAGTATTAGGTCTTTTATTTATCCGGTAATGAGTTCAAACTCATATGCGGTATGTTATTCTTATTACTTGGGTAAATATTTTTTACAAATGCAATAATAAAGTTAACTCATACTCACCGAGAAAAATACGAAAGTAATAGGTACAAAATGAGCCAAAAGTGCAAGTCTTTTTCGCATCGATTTCACCAAATTGCACATAAAAAATTACAAATTCAGTTTTGGGTGGGGGGATTAATATAGCATAGCTGTTTTTGAATTATATTCAACCACACCCCCTTCAAAAATTGGGGAAGAAAATTGGGAAAAATGAGAAGGTCAATGTACACTCGGTACAGAAAGAAGTAGATACCAACTTGCATTTGACATTTGACTTCCCTCATGAATATGAACATTTTGATGCATCAAGACTTTCAAAATTCGAAAATTGGCGGTTTTTCGACCTACATATAAATCGTTAAAAAAGTGACCTTAGCGGTCATTTCGCGGCTGACAACCTGATGCCAGATTTTTCTTTTTCAGAGGTGCCACATTTTCCGCTTTTGTTGTCCGCTGCGAAATGACCGCTACCATGACTTTTTTGGGGTCAAAGTTTCTGAGGGAGGGGCTTATACGGCAGGAGCCGTAACAATGTATAGGTATTTATGATATACATAAAGGTAATTACATAGAAGCTATTAAAACAGCCTCAAATCGCCCCAAATTTAAAACTTAAGCTTTTCTGAATTTATAATGATGATATGCATTCGAAAATTAACGCTATCGGGCTTATCACTGCGCTTATCAGTTTTTAAGATAAGCAAATTTAGTTTGTCCAAATCTCCCCAAATTTAAAACTTAAGCTCAACGATTTATCAACTGAACCAACTCGTGTAAGAGATGAAAAGCATCTCAACACGAGTTGGTTCATAATCCCGGTAAACAATTTGAAGAGAGTGAGAAGTGAGACGGACCACCATACGGCACTGGCAACGACAGTCAGCGGTGGTGGTGGATACCCACCAGAATCCGAGTCTCACTCTGCCTTTCGCTAAATAATGGAAACTGCGTTTGTGAAACGGTTGGGCTGGTTCAGCTCAATACGAGAACGATAACAATGGATGGACACATTAATTCGCGTATCGAATCCTTTTCAAGCTAAAAAGTTGATTCCTAGGACATGCACTTCTGGAGATTTAATTATAAAAGGGCCAAAAATGGACCTAAAGGTCATACGCAGGGAAACTTTGCCCTCCAATATCTCCGAAAGTATACGGAATTTCGAAAAACGTATGCCTTCAGTTTTGTCTTAAAAAATGATGCAGAATACAATACCGTCATCAGTGTTCACCAAACTCGTGTAGAAGGGTCTGGCGGAAGCTCCTTCCCCTGGGGTGTGGTAGTATAAAGCTATTTTTACGTTACTCCTCGTGTCTCACTCGTTCGAAGTATGTACAAATGGTTGAAAGTATTCACAATATTATTTTTGAGAATTGAAGTCGCATTTGACATCGCATTGCAAATTGCAATGTGGTTATGAATTCCATGGATTTAAGTTTAATAAGTATGAAAGGTTTAGAACCCTGTTCTTCGCAGTTGTAATAATTTATATTATGTGTCTTAGAACCTTATAAGTTCAGAATAATGTTTATTGTAATTTTAAGAACAGGCTGAAATTACAAGAAAAATTATGGCAGCACTGGGTCGGCGTATGATGATGCTACATACTGACTCGAAGAACCAATCGTGTATGTGGTAACTTTAACAGGATTGGTATCAAACAACATCGGACAAGTAGTGGAACCAGGTCGGACAAGCAAACAAGCTGAATACACAGCTAACTCGAATTCCGGCGAAGTTCCGATAAACATGGAACTAATCGGTTTGCAAGCACTACACCACACAAACTTGTGTTGGATTAGTGCTCCTGGCTGTGGGGGATAAAAATACATAAATAGGTATATTCAATTATTACTGACAATGGAGGTCTCCCAACGTATGTTCATTGATTTACAAATTTACTGGGCATGAAATCTGCAAATGGAACTATCTGCCAATGCGCACGTTTGGCGGACCTGTTTGCATAAAAAGATGAGAAAAGACGTAAATTTGTAAAGTGTCAAATTGGTAGCGTTTGGGGCCCGTTTTCGCCTCCTTGGATGAAAATACCTCCGCAAAACCTGCCGATTGGTAGATAGTTCAATTTGCATCTCTCATACCAATTAAATTTCTAATCGATTGACACTAGTTTCATCCAAATCCGTAAGCATCCTTTGGGGGACCTCCATGTGAGTTATTGGAAACATATTTAATGCTCACAGTTCCCATGTCCAAGAACTTCATCCATCCCGCGCAATTGAGTAGTCCAGCTTCTTCTTGCTTAGCAAAAAATACCCAATTATGAAAACCAGACACGCCATCCTTTAATTCAGCTAGAAAGACATGTTCCATTCCGGACTTCATGTTCCAAACTTCATGTTCATTCTAATCCCCTCACATTAATTTTCACTCGGATTTCTCACTCTTGCATAGGCCGTCATACTCGCATGGCATAATTATTGAAACAAAGTAATCAGAAATTAATTACGGTATAAAACAGGGTCGACCTTAAATCGTTACATTTTTTATATTATTCTATTTTTCGACATGGCAATGCTTTAGAAATGGGGAACAAATTGAGTCTTTCCATTTTATTTTGTCTCTACCGAATTTTTTATATGAATATATTAATTTAAAAATATAAGTGCGACCTCCAATAATTAAGAAAATCAAACGTGTATGAAACCTGTGAAATGTTTTATACCGTAATTAATTTCTGATTACTTTGCATCAATGATTATGCTATACGAGTGAGAAATCCGAGTGAAAATTAATGTGAGGGGATTAGAATCAACTTGAGGTTTGCTTCCTCCGCCTAATAAAGATTTGACATAAAATATTTTGACAAATTCCAACCAGCATAAATTGCAAGTACCTATACACACAGCGATATGCATATGACCTTTTCATGTCATACTTTATAAATTAAGTCATTCTCACATATTTATGTTGATGCGCCATAATTTTACATTGTAAGTTAAACATCCTCGTGTACACATGTAATAATGCCAATAATGTTGGTACATACATACTACCAGGCTTTTGCACGTGCATGGCTAATTCTTTGCTTGACAAATATTTTATGCAACTTGGGACTACGAAACCAGTTATAAAAAATTCACAATATTGCAAGTCCATACCAATAAAAAATTGGATTGGATTCGTTGTTATTTTACTATATAAGTATTTGCCTCAATTTATTTGTCCGCACACGGTTAAAAATATTGCAGAGTGGCGACTCCGCACTTGTTTTAATTCGGTAATAACTTCCTATCCGATTGGTAATACATAGTTTTTTTCCTTCGTGGAAAGGTCTTCATCACCACAGCATGACTAAACGGTAATGCTAATTATTACCGGGCCAGTAGAATCATAAATATAAGTACTATTCCATACCAGTTTTTTAAGAGTGCAGAGAGAAATCGCAATTATTTTTCTTTGCATATCTAACCACTTTTTCTTTTTGTAAAACGCTTATGTCGGTGTCCTAGGCCTAATCTACTAGAGGGAAAATATAGGAATAATGTCCATATTCTGCAATTTTTCAGTATGTAGTTATCAGGGATGGGCAATCCCAGGATTACTTTAATCAGATTAAGTAATCAGATTACTTTGAATGTAATCCGTAATCCAGTAATCCAATAAAAATTTATATTTAGAAGTAATCCGTAATCCGTAATCCCGGTTAGCTCCGGAAATGACGCGTAATCCATAATCCACAATTTATGAAATTGGAAAATGTAATCGGATTGCGGATTACTTGTTGGATTACTTTCCCCCCGAGAACAGCATTAACTCAATCTCGCAAATGCTTATATAATCAGTTACAAAATTGGGGAAATGTCAATTTTATTTGCCACATAGTTTATTTTCCGTCGTATTTGTCATAGTATTCGGGTCTTGAGTTTGAATATTTTTGTCTCAACTTTTTCTCCTTCAATGTATTCAAATGGCGATTTTAAAACTTGTCAATCTCCTACAAAATGAAGATTTAATTGTATCAAAAAATCGATAATTTTCACTTTACGAAGCTAGGAGATTATAATTTTGATTTTTTTTTCATATGACCTTCAGTTAGTTAAAAATACAGAAGGTGAACAAGTTTTAAAATCACCATTTGAATACATGGAAGTAGGGAATGAGACAAAAATATGTATTCAAACTTAAAACTCGCATACAATATTCCCTTAATATTATTCTGTTTCAAAATTCTGCCAAAAAATCCTATCGCCGATTACTTATACATATGTACGTGCCACGATATATGGGTAGATTTACTGGACTACATTAGTACGGTATATCTAAAATTGCATTATCAACAATCAAGTCTCCAAAATGACAAGCCAAGTGAAAATTTGAACTATTCTTGATGGCAACTTCTTCGAAATTGTAAAATTGAGTAATATGGAAGTACTGATGCTAAGTGGTTATCCTACAAAGATCCAGTGAAAGGCAAATTGCATCCTTCGTGCCGTTATTCAAAATAAGTATGAATTTTTGTAATCCGGATAATAATCCATAATCTGATTACTGTAATCCATAATCCGTAATCCAAGATACTAATTTATACATGTAATCCAACAAGTAATCCACCTTGTTTCAGGATTAAAGTAATCCAAATCCAGTAATCCCATGATAATTCTTAAATTCATTAATCTGTAATCCGTAATCCATCGTAAATGTTGGGATTGCCCATCCCTGGTAGTTATCTATCTGCGCGCATTGATCGAGTCATATTTATTAAACCCAATTTCCTAGTTTAATGAAAAATCGGGAAGAATTACATACTCCATTTAATCACAAAATTTTAGTATTTTGCTAAACTCATGGTGTACGTATGTAGGTAGAATTTTTTAATAGTAGGTTGGAAATTGGGATAAAATAGATTTCTTATGGTTGTGAAATATTGGAAAAGTACAGTTCCTAATCTAGTATACATTTTCAAATTCAAAAGCTTGGATTAAACATTGTTGAAAATCCGATAATTACAAATTTTGAGCGGAAACACCACAAAATAACTAAATGGTAATGCTCTGTATTACCATGCCAAATGCAGTAAAAATCCAGTTTTGCAAGAGTCTGCATACTTACTGATTTTACCCCAAAAGTTGGAAATGTACGCTTTAAAATCTGTCCAAATGGCATGGTCGTATTTAAAAAGTTTCTGGAAAATATGCAAAACGGTGCAAATCCCAAGTCACACCCCGTTCGACGCCCTCCTACGCTTCAACATCATTTCTAACCCATTATACACCCAATTTCTTACCTGGAATGGAGCAACGAGACTGCCAACTCCGACACCACTTAAACAATTAAAGGCATCCATGCTATTCTCTGGTGTCCTTGTGGTTACTAATTTGTTCTTATTTTTCATCGTAACGAAAGAAGTCCTCTCTTATGAAAGGGACCCCGAACTGACGAGCTCAGCGATCATTATAACCGTCCTTTGCTCTGGAATCACCTTGACGCTCAGCATGACTCCAATTTATTTGTGGAACGGGTCGGATATTTGTTTCGTGTATCGAAGCGTGGAAACTTTGAAGCAGAAATTAAACCAAGATAATGGTAATATGTAATTATATGAGTACTATTTAATAGGTTATCGTTAATGGATCATAATTAAATACTAAAACTGACCATAATAACTCATACATTGACCAATACTAGCTCTATTCTTAAAAAGACCAGCTCATCCATAATAAGTACTGAATATGACCATAAAAAAATCATTAAATTTAAAACGCATTACCGCTGACAAATATACACTTCAACTTTGTACAGTTTTACATAATTTTTAGTCCCAAACTCGGGTAGCAAATGGGCTAACTTTCGTAACTTAAAAATTAAAAAAACGACCCATTTTGGATAAATAAATTCCATTGTCCAAATTTTCAACCTATGTATGCAGGCTTGAACCTGCAAAAAATGATTCAACTCTGCTACAAGTTCCGTGTAATGATTGTAATTCAATTACTATTTTCAGGTAGCACATGCGCAAAAATAGATCTCATGGGACTTTTTCTGCATGCCTGGATCCTTGGAATAATTCTCGTCCCACCAGGAGCTGCCGTGGTCCCACTTGCAATACACAATTTGGAACCAACTTATTTTATAGAGCGCTACTTGACATTTATTCCCTCAATTGGAGTCATTTTATGCAGAATGACGGCCATGTTTATCATAATGTTCAACATTAAATGTTGCATGCAAACTTGATACTTGTGGGGGTTGTAATGATAATCACGAATGCAGGCTTATCAGTGAAATCCGGTATTAATTGGGTCGAACGAGATGACAAAGTTTCCCACTTTTTCCGGAGATCTTCACAACTTTATGTATATTTAATAATCCATCGCCAGCTGCAAATTGTGACTACAGTTTTCAATTCCGCAATTTATTTTACACTCCCGATCGTTCAATTTGTCGTATTTTTGTTCGCCGTAATGATGAGTTACGTGGTTATCAAGTTTTTCCTGTCGTACTTACGATTATTAGCTCACCCTGCGTAGCACGGGAGCTATTGAATTCCTCTTGTCCGTCTGTCCGTCTGTCTGTCTGTCTGTCGGTTCACGAGGTTTTTGCATCAATTGATGCTAATTAATTTGCCCCATGTGCAAATTTTAGCAAATTAGTAGCACCATTGGTCTCGAACAGTCGGTAACACAAAATGGTGCCAAACAATTTACAACATAGATGCAAAACACACCAAACGTGCATAAGAACCGAAAAAAAATAACTAGAATTTTTACTTCGAATTTGTCACGATTTGATGTCAAAATTATGGATGCATTTTCCTCGTTAATTTTCCAACATTGATGGAAAATTATATCACAATTATGTGTATCTTTTGTCCGCCCATTCTGCACCATTAATGCAAAATTATGCCAAAATTGTGTATCCATTTTATCTGCCAATTCTCCACCATTGGTGCAAAATTATGCTAAAATCATTGTTACAGGGTGAGCTACTTCTAACGTTACAACGGTTTATTAGCTCACCCTGCGTAGCAGAGGAGCTATTGAATTCCTCTTGTCCGTCTGTCTGTCTGTCCGTCTGTCCGTCTGTCTCTCTGTCCGTCTGTCTGTCTGTTAACGACTCTTTTTCATCAATTGATGCTAATTACTGCGACTTATTCAGGTTCGTGACAGACTTAATAGCACCACTGGCATCGAACAAGCGGCGACTCAAAATGGTGCCAAACAATTGATGGAATAGGTGCAAAACACACCAAACGTGCAGAAGAACCGAAAGAAATGACTATAATTTTTACTACGAATTTGCCAATATTTCATGTCAAAATTACTGTTTGTTTTCCTTCATTTATTTTCCACCATCGGCGCAAAATTATGTCACAATTATGTATA